GGTATTACTGCAGGGTATTGTGGGATGTGGCTTAGATTTTTCCCAGAGTGCTGTTCACTCACGCTAAGCCAGCCCTTGGTATAATGTGGTGCACGCTAACCTAACATCTGTGTGTTGGCTGACGTCGGATTAGGTGTGTACGGGGCAACCTAAGATTTACCAGTTAAAAACCAAAGCGGCCTAAGAACTTGGACAGACGCTTCTTGCGTGGTCTGGATTTATTCACGAAGTGCACAGGGAAATGCAAGAAATGCCCCGCATAGCCCTGCCCAGCTAAATCCCAACTCTGTGCAGGGTTCTTCGCCCTGTCCCGGCTAAGGCTTCCATCTGGCAGACACATCCTTCACCTTCGTCCTTCCTAGGTGGCTGCTGCTCCCTGCAGCCTTTCCGTCCTTGGGAGCCTGGGAGAGTCTTTGGACTTGTCTACACTTGAAATATGTAGTGTAGACACTGCCTACGCTGCGGGAGGGGTTCTCCCATCGGCGCAAGTAATCCACCTCCCCGAGAGGCAGTAGCTAGTTGAACAGAAGAATTCATCCATCAGCCAAGCACTGTCTACACTGGGACTTAAGTCAGCTTAACTGTTCTGCTCCGGGGGGGGGGGGGGGGGGGATTTTTCACACCTCTGGGCGACGTAGCTGAGTAGATCTAATTTTCCAGTGTGGGGCAGTTTGTGTAGTCCTGCTGCCCTCATTTGAGTCTCTCCTGGCTTCCTTCGTGGAGTTGCCCTTCTTAGCCACATTCCCTGCCTGTAGTGTGACGTAACTCATCAACCTAAGTGGAGAAAAGGAGTAAAGTGGGTCGGGGTGGGGCTGGCATCCTCTATCTCCTCTTAAATGGAACCCCCGGTCACCCCCAAAGAGCAGCTTATGGGGGATCTCCATCCCCAGAGGGATTAGGGATACTGGAGGGGAGGGAAGCTTTCCCACAGCAGTGTCTCTGGTCTCCCTGTGACTTTAGCAGCATCCTGCAGCAGTGAGTTCCACAGATCAAAAAAGAAATACAAAAGGAAAAGCTTCTGCAAAGGATTGACGCTTGGCTTTTGTTGTGCGCAGGTTCCAGGAGAAGGAAGACTCGTGAATGGAGCAGCACAGGGGCAGAGGGCCATGGACAAGAGAAGACTAGATGTAACACCTACCCCTCCTTTACCCAGAACAACTTGCCTCACCTCCTAATGAGATTGTTTTCTTGGCTCAGGCCCAGGTCGACCTATGGGCTGACAGCCACCACCACCCAGCGTTCACCGCCACTGGTGCCTGCAGCCCAGTGAAGCAAAGGAGGGGCGTGAACACAACTCTGGCCCTGCAGAGGTGACTCCAAAGGGTGTAACCATGGGGGATACCACATCCCCCTTTCCCATCCCCTAGGGGAACCTCAAGTCCTCAGCCCCAGGGGATGTAGAGCCATTTGTGGAGAGCTCAAGACTATTTAAGGCTGCTCTGGCAGTTCCCACGCTGGACCCCAGCTGCTGCGTTCTCTGGGGAGAGCCTGTTGGTGTATTGTGCTTTGTGGGGGGGGACATGGGGGGTTCGCTCCCCTCTTTCAGGATCGTGGGCTGTGGAGGACAGACCAGCTGTGGAGTCCTGGGTGCATATTTCTGGGCAAGACTACAACCCCATACTCCTAGGAGAAGTAAATAAAATCCTATTTTGTACATGAACCAAGCGTGTCTCACTCTCCTCCTGGGTCTAGAATCACAGATATGGGGGCCCCTCAGTGCCAGGTGCTGCACAGACACCCAACAAGAGACAGGCCCTGCCCCAGCTGAGATCAGGGCCCCATTGTGCCAGGCGCTGCACAGACACCCAACGAGAGACAGGCCCTGCCCCAGCTGAGATCAGGGCCCCGTTGTGCCGGGCGCTGCACAGACACACAGCGAGAGACGGGTCCTGCCCCAGCTGAGATCAGGGCCCCATTGTGCCGGGCGCTGCACAGACACACAGCGAGAGACAGGCCCTGCCCCAGCTGAGATCAGGGCCCCGTTGTGCCGGGCGCTGCACAGACACACAGCGAGAGACGGGTCCTGCCCCAGCTGAGATCAGGGCCCCATTGTGCCGGGCGCTGCACAGACACACAGCGAGAGACAGGCCCTGCCCCAGCTGAGATCAGGGCCCCGTTGTGCCGGGCGCTGCACAGACACACAGCGAGAGACGGGTCCTGCCCCAGCTGAGATCAGGGCCCCATTGTGCCGGGCGCTGCACAGACACACAGCGAGAGACAGGCCCTGCCCCAGCTGAGATCAGGGCCCCGTTGTGCCGGGCGCTGCACAGACACACAGCGAGAGACGGGTCCTGCCCCAGCTGAGATCAGGGCCCCATTGTGCCGGGCGCTGCACAGACACACAGCGAGAGACAGGCCCTGCCCCAGCTGAGATCAGGGCCCCGTTGTGCCGGGCGCTGCACAGACACACAGCGAGAGACGGGTCCTGCCCCAGCTGAGATCAGGGCCCCATTGTGCCGGGCGCTGCACAGACACACAGCGAGAGACAGGCCCTGCCCCAGCTGAGATCAGGGCCCCGTTGTGCCGGGCGCTGCACAGACACACAGCGAGAGACGGGTCCTGCCCCAGCTGAGATCAGGGCCCCATTGTGCCGGGCGCTGCACAGACACACAGCGAGAGACAGGCCCTGCCCCAGCTGAGATCAGGGCCCCGTTGTGCCGGGCGCTGCACAGACACACAGCGAGAGACGGGTCCTGCCCCAGCTGAGATCAGGGCCCCATTGTGCCGGGCGCTGCACAGACACACAGCGAGAGACAGGCCCTGCCCCAGCTGAGATCAGGGCCCCGTTGTGCCGGGCGCTGCACAGACACACAGCGAGAGACGGGTCCTGCCCCAGCTGAGATCAGGGCCCCATTGTGCCGGGCGCTGCACAGACACACAGCGAGAGACAGGCCCTGCCCCAGCTGAGATCAGGGCCCCGTTGTGCCGGGCGCTGCACAGACACACAGCGAGAGACGGGTCCTGCCCCAGCTGAGATCAGGGCCCCATTGTGCCGGGCGCTGCACAGACACACAGCGAGAGACAGGCCCTGCCCCAGCTGAGATCAGGGCCCCGTTGTGCCGGGCGCTGCACAGACACACAGCGAGAGACGGGTCCTGCCCCAGCTGAGATCAGGGCCCCATTGTGCCGGGCGCTGCACAGACACACAGCGAGAGACAGGCCCTGCCCCAGCTGAGATCAGGGCCCCGTTGTGCCGGGCGCTGCACAGACACACAGCGAGAGACGGGTCCTGCCCCAGCTGAGATCAGGGCCCCATTGTGCCGGGCGCTGCACAGACACACAGCGAGAGACAGGCCCTGCCCCAGCTGAGATCAGGGCCCCGTTGTGCCGGGCGCTGCACAGACACACAGCGAGAGACGGGTCCTGCCCCAGCTGAGATCAGGGCCCCATTGTGCCGGGCGCTGCACAGACACACAGCGAGAGACAGGCCCTGCCCCAGCTGAGATCAGGGCCCCGTTGTGCCGGGCGCTGCACAGACACACAGCGAGAGACGGGTCCTGCCCCAGCTGAGATCAGGGCCCCATTGTGCCGGGCGCTGCACAGACACACAGCGAGAGACAGGCCCTGCCCCAGCTGAGATCAGGGCCCCGTTGTGCCGGGCGCTGCACAGACACACAGCGAGAGACAGGTCCTGCCCCAGCTGAGATCAGGGCCCCGTAGTGCCAGGTGCTGCACAGACACACAGGGAGAGACAGTCCCTGCCCCAGCTGACATCAGGGCCCCGTTGTGCCGGGCACTGCACAGAGACACAGCGAGAGACAGTCCGTGCCCCAAATCACAGCCAATTGGTGGGAGGGGGGAACAGGCACAGGGAAGTGAAAGGACTTGCCTAAGGTCCCACATGGAGTCAGGGGCAGAGGCATGAATTGAACCCAGGTGTCCTGAGTTCCCTGTTAAAACACTGACTGCACGTTCCTGCCAGCCCCTGACCCGCTACTGTCTCTAGTGCTGAAGCTGGCAGAGCCTGGCCCTGCCCATAGCTGCCCCACTGAGACCCCCAGGGCCTCTCAAGCCCTGGCCCCAACTGTATTTACGCTTCCCCCTATGCCCCTCAGTCATTGTCCCCTCACAACCCCTATTGAGCCCCACCCTTTTTGCTCTCCCCACCGTGCCTCTTCCCCCCCTAGCTCCCCCCATGCCCCCCCCCCCCGGTTCCTCCCCCCCCCCAGCTGTACGCCCTAGCCCCCCTCAGGCTTGATTCCCCCCACTAAGCCCCCCTTTCCCCACATGCCCCCCACAGAGGCCTTGCCTCATTGAGCCCCCTCCCCTTTGTGATCCACCATGGCCTCCCCACTCTAACTGCAAACCCCTTCCTCCTGTGCCCTTCTCAGTCTTTACCCCCCACTGAGCCCCCCTTTCCCCATATGTTCCCCCCACTCAGCACTGGTCCCCCCATTGGGCCCACAGACCCACTGACCCCCCGGTATCCCTCTTCTCCCCATGTGGGGGGCTTAGTGGGACCAGCCTGATGGTCCCACTGAGCCCCCCACTTCCCCTATGCCCTCCACCTGTGCCCCCATAGTGCCACTGACCCCAGCAGTGTTTCCCTTCCCCTATACCACACAGACCCACTGAGCCCCCCACTGCACCCCCCTTCCCCTGTACCCCCATAGTCCTACTGAGCCCCCCACTGCACCCCCCTTCCCCTGTAGCCCCCCCATGGTCTACTGACCTCCCCTTAATGACCCTCAGAGTATTCCGCCCCCCCACCGTGAGACCCATCACGTGACAGCTCAGGCTGCCGCCCCGGGGGGGCCTCCCACCAGCCCCTCCCTGCCTTGGACGTGACTCAGGCTAGAATTCTCTCCCGCCCCCTTTTTCTGGCCGCGCATGCGCGCCGCGCCCCCGTACGGCGGAAGTGCCGCGCCGAGAATTCCCTTCCTTCCAGAGCCAAAGGAGCGGGGGGGGGATGGGGGACTGTGTTCCGGTACTCGCACCCGGAAGCGGGAAGTAGTGGGCTGGTGACCGGAAGTGGCGTGCGGCCGGTGGTGGGAGCCGGGCGGTCGCTCGCCGCGGGCTGCTGGGAGAGCCGGGGCAGCCGCAGGGGGAGCGAGGCAGGGGCGGTGCGCGGCGCAGACTCTTCCCCCCGGCAACCGGGGCCGCGGAGAGTGGGGGCCGGGCAGCGCCATGGCGGAGGCGACGGCGACTGCGACAGCGACGGCCGGCGGGAGGGCAGCCAGCGCTACCGTGACCGAGACTGTCACCATTGAGCCGGTGAGCGGGGCCGGGGATCGGGGCCCGGGGGGGCGGGAAAATACCGGGATCCGGCCCGGGGGGTGTCAATATAAAATCCCCGGATGGGGGGGGGGTTATTGTAAAATCCAAGGATTTGGGGTTGTAAATTTTGCAGAAGTTAATATAAAATCCCAGGGATTTGGGGCAGGTTATAAAAAAAAATCGTGGGGGGAGGAATGTAAAATCCCAGGAATGTGGGGGGGTGTATAGATTTGGGGGGTTAATTTAAAATCCTGGGGGATTGGGGCAGGTTTATAACATTGGAGGAGGGTAAATATAAAATCTCAGGGATTTGGGTTTTTTTATAAAATATAAAATCCCTGGATTTGGGGGGTGTTTGTTTGTTTGTTTTTTGTAATTTTAGGGGTTAATATAACATTTCAGGGATTTGGGGGGTTGTACATTTTGAGGAGGATTTAATACATAATCTCAAGTATTTGGCGGGGTTATAAATATTTTTGGTGAGTTTAACATAAACTCAGGGTTTGTGGGTTTTGTAAATGGGGGCGGGGGGAATCACATTCCAAACCGCAGGAATTGGGTTTTAAAACAAAAAAATAAAATCCTGCAGGTTTGAAAAGCGGGGGTTGCCTGTCAGTCTGTTTTAATTTGGGGGGTGGGGGTGATTGTAAAATCACAGGAATTTGAGAGATTAAAAATGTGTGGGGCTAATAGAAAATCACGGGGTTTTAGAGGTTTTATAAATTGGGGGAGGGGGGGTTAACACACAATCACCGGGATGTGTAAGTTTTATTTAAATCTGGGGGTGCTTAGTATAAAATCATGGGGATTAGTGGCTTATTTTATTTTTAGTTTTGGGGATTTAATATAAAATCACATGGATATGGGGGTTTATTTTGGGGGTTAAAATCATGGGAAATTGGGTTTTTAATTTGAGGGGGTTTTTAAATGTAGAATCAGAGGGATGTGGGGTGGGTTTTTTTTGTATTTTGTTTGGGGGGTTTAAATATAAAATCACAGGAACATGGGGAGAATTAATATAAAATCATGGGGATTTGGGCTTGGAGACTTTGCAAGTCTGTGGGATCGTGGGGGGAGGGGGATTGTGGGGGGGGAATGAGGATTTGAGGGGAAACCACTCATTTTCGGGTGGCTTGGATTTTCACCATTAAAATCAAATCCGGTTTTGATTAAACAGCCCTGGTTCTCTCTTTTAGATGCCGAGTATTAACTAGCAGTGGGGAGCGTTAGTTAAAAAATTCATTCAGAGGCCCCCAAACTGACCCCCTGGCCCCACCTGCATGTGCCCCCGCTGGGCGCTTCCGTGAGCGCTGTACCCATCGTGGGCACCACGGCATTGGTTGTCACAGCGACCGTGATGCCAGGGAAGCCACGGTAACCGCAGGCTGTGGGAGTCACAGCAACCATTGCTGTGAAAGGGGGGGCGGCGGTTGCCACGGCAACCATCCCAGCGACAGGAGGGCGTGGTGCCCATGGTGACACAGCAATCGTTATGGCGACTGCAGGAAGTGGGAGTGGGGCAACTATCCCAGTAGGAATGGGGTGTGGTACCCATGGCGACGCTCATGGTGGCCGTCACGGTGACGATTGTCTGTTGTAGCTATGGCAGCGGCAGCAGGGCGTGGTTCTTGTGGTGCACATCAGTTAGCACAGGGCGAGGGACACAGGGAACCGTGGCAGCCACAGAATGTGGTAACCCTGGTGACCGCCACAGCCGGAACAGGGCACAGTAGCCATGGAAACAGCAGGGCGTGGGAGCCCCAGCAACCGCAGGGTGCGGTCCCCAGGAAGTCCGGCGTGGTTCCGAAGGCGGTGGTGGAAGGGACACGCCGTGGAGCTGGGCAACAGTCGGACTCCCGGGGGCCTTGTGAGAGGGTTTGCCTCACTGTCATAGAAGAGTGCCCCCTACTGGGCCCCTGTCCTGCTCCCTGCAACTCGGCACCCCCTAGTGCTGCCCTGTGGCCTGCCCTGCCTGCCAGGGTAGAGCACCCCCTACTGAGCCCCCCACCCCGCTCCCTGCAGCACAGCGCCCCCTAGTGCCGCACTGGGGCCTGCCCTGCCTGCCAGGGTAGAGCACCCCCTACTGAGCTCCCCACCCCGCTCCCTGCAGCATGGTGCCCCCTGCCGTCTCAGGTCTCTCCCTACTAATCCAGCCAAGGTCTTTCTCCGTGGGTCATCTGTGACCGGCCATGGTCTGATCCCCCCGCTCTCTCTCCACCCCACGCCCTGTCCCCCTGGTAGGAGAACCGCAGCCTGACCATCAAGCTGAGGAAGCGAAAGCCGGATAAGAAGGTGGAATGGTCGAGTGACACGGTGGACAACGAGCACTTGGGCCGTAGGTCGTCCAAATGTGAGTAGCCACGGCTCCCCCCTTCCGAGACTCCCCCCATCCGGGTACAGGGCCTTTAGCCACATCACTCCGAATGGGGCGGGCAGTGGGGGCTAGTGGTTAGAGCGGGGGAGGCTGGGAGTCAGGACTCCTGGGTTCTCCATCCCTCCCCTTCCTGCTTCCACATGCTCAACACAAACCTCTTCACCTCAGCAGTGCTGCTGGATCCCACCCCCTGCGCCAGCCAATCCCCTGCCCTGGGGCTGGATTGGAGCCAGCGCCCCCTGGAGGGGAAAGGCCCTGTGTCCCACTCCTCA